GGGCTAGGTACCTTTGGACTTTGACTGTTGGGGTCACGACAGTTGACCAAAGTCAACTGTCACACCTCCAGGCCCTGAGTCCTCGTGTGGGTTCCTTTTTGGCCCCGTTTCGGCCTGGGCTGAGGGCGGCCGAGTTGGCCCTCAGTCTTTCCACGAGTCATATGGCATGGGTTATTGCAGTGGAATTAATTAGTCTTTTAATTATTTATTGTGCAGCAGACAAACATTTTAAAAATGTCTTTCATCTGGAAATGTCTGCGTTCCTCCATCTTGACTCTCTTCATCCCTCTCTTTCTCTTCCCTGCCTCCATCACCTTTTTCGTTGATGAAGAAGGTGATGAACTAAGAACCCGTGGCCAAGTTGCAAACAGACAGCAGCAGATGCTGAACCGCCTCCATCAGTTGATCACAGAATTGCACGACGCTGGAGAAGATGTTGAGCAGCACGTGCACAACCAGTTCGACCCGCGATGTTATGGACTCCGCCAGGGCTCGATCCCTGGTCTATCTTTTTGCTGTTTCGGCTGCATCCCGTTTTCGGCCTGGCACCCTTTTTCCAAACCCCTCCTTTGGTACCGTAGGATTTTGGACAACTGGCGCCATGCTGCAATTCGGGCGACACTTTCAAATACCGCATTTTTCAGTTCTGCCTCCGGGGCCTTTGCAGAAATGCCCCTGGTACCGTACGTGTCACCGGTACTTATACTGGCTCCCCGTACGGTACGGGAACCTGTCTGGTACCAGTTTCCTGCTGTACTCGTACTCTGTGTGACTTGCTTCGACATTGTGTTCGGAAATCCAAGACTTCGACTTTGCGACTTTGCCACTTCGTGTCTGCATCCGTCGAGTCATGTCGAGTCTGCATCGAGTTGAATGAGTGTGTGTGTGTGCTCTCACTCTCTCCCTCTCTCTCCCAGCCTCATTGCCTCAGCCCCGTCACACACGAGCAGCAGAAGCCGAACTAGAGCAGTCTGACACTACTGTTCAGATGGTGGAAGCCAGCGGTCAAGTGCAAAGGACAATTGACCTGAGCCGAGCAGCTCTAAATAAATTCGTGATTGATCAACTGACGGGGATAGCTGAAGGGGCCAAGAAAGAAGAAGAGCAAGGAGAGATGAGCGAACCGAAAGAAGAACCAGAATTGTTTGAAGAAATAATGGAGGGAAAGATCAAGCAATTAGAAGATGCATTAAAGGCAGAGATGAGAAGATGGAAGATTATCAGCGGAAGAAGAAAGAGAAAGAACAGCAACAAAAGAAAGTGGATGAGATCAGACAGCGATTTCACTTTGAAGGAAGGAAACTGATCTTGCATCTGTATTGAATACCATGATGGCTTACCTTGCTCACCTTGAAACAAACGATGACCAGACCCGTGAAGGGAAAGGACAAGGTGGTGTTTGAGGAGGAGGCCAAAGGGGAAGAAGAGAAAGAACCCCAAGAAAAATTATTGAACGATGCAATGAAAAGAGTGCCGCCAAAGAAACCTGAGAGTTCTAAAAAAGAATCTAAGAAACTGTCTGAAAAAAATGAAGAGCCCGCTAAGAAGGAACCGGCCAAAAAAGTAGAGAAACCGAAAAGGAAAGAGAAAGTAAAGATGAAATTGCCATTCACATACAACAACAAGAAAGGAGAAAACTTGTTGCCATGGATAGCTGAGATCCAGACTTATTGCAAAACCGCTCCAGTAGAACCTGAAAGTCAGGTAGCCTTCTCTACGTCTTGTTTGGGAGAAGTGGCCAAGGAGTGGGTCCTTTCAAAGTCCAATGAGGCACCTCCAAAAGATCAAGGAGAGATTCCTTGACAAGACGACAGCTGACAAGGCTTTCGACCAACTCACCACCATTGGTCAAAAGCGCTGGTCTTCTGTTGATGCATTGTCTCGTGAGGTGGATCGTCTCTTGCAGGTGCCTAGACTAACTTTGCAAGATAACCAGGTCCTTTATATCTACTCACACGCGTTCCCCGAACCGATTCGCGGACAGCTCGTGGCCGAAGCAAAGTCTGGGAAGCAAAACTACAGACTTGACTTATCCCTACACCTCAAGACTTATCCTGTATTCCACGCATCTAAACACCTGCCATATGTAGAGGGACATGACTTTCCCAACAGACCATCTATGTTCCCACCTTCAATGAATGGAGGCTACGAAGTTGAGAAGATACTGGAACATGGATACTTCTCTGCAGGTGGCAGAGGAAGACCGCAGAAGCAGTTCAAGGTAAAGTTCAAGTCTCAACCACCATCCGAAGCTAGATGGTTCAGCAATAAGGAACTATTGCCTACTGCTCCTGACATCATTGCTGCGTATGAACGTGGTTTAAAAGAAAGATAAGTATTTCTGTGATGGAACTCCAAAATTGGGCCGGCAGGAATGCAATAACCCGCTCAATATGCACTGTTGTTGCCTGAGGGGCACCCGCAGGCCGCGACCCCGGCCTAAGGCCGCAACAATCGAGGGGAAGAAAACCCCTAAAATTGGTTTCAGGGCCCCAGCGCCCAACAGTTGACTTTAGTCAACTGCCCAGGGGCCCACGAGACAAAGTCTGCATGGACCCAGCCCAGGCCACCGGTCAGACACACACATTTGTTTGTATGCAAGTATCAAGACGGCATCCGGACCAAGTGGACGTCTGCAACTGTATGAGATCCAGGCCATCAGCTTAGAGTCAATCTGAGCCACTGTGAGTGAAAGACCTGAGGCAGGTCAACCTCGTCAAACACTACATAAGGCCCCTGCCTCCGGGAGTCCACATTCAGTCTTGCCTTGCTGACTTGACCCTGGCTGGACACTGACTCTATGCTGGCACTGTGGACGACAACGCGAGACTGCTGCATGTGTGCTGGCGCCTTCTTGCTCTGGTGCCAGCTGTCTACTTGCTGATGTGGCACGTGCCACATTATCTTCGACACTGCTGATGTGGCGTATGCCACCCTGTCTCCATTGCTGATGCGGCATCTGCCACACTGTCTTCATTGCTGAGTTGGACGCGACAAGGAGGGAGATCAGGAGAGAGGATACTTACCTGTTGCTGATGTCGAGACTGTGCGCTGCTGAACTTCTTCACGGGAAAACTGTGCCACACGACACTCTGATGTGATCCGGCCCTGTCAGGCTCGTTCTTGGACACTTTGCTGACGTGGAGGCGGGGGGAAGCCCGGAGAAGGAGAGGGAAATGTGGGGCGACAATCTCTGTGGTCATTGATGGATACTTCCTTTTCCACCCTCTAAATCGTCTTTTTCCGCCTCTCTTCGTCTATTGGTTACGAGACATTGTATCATGGATTACATTTCTGGATTATTGGAGACATTATTCAGAGCTGAGTTATCTTGTACTTTGACATTTGAAGAGTATCTTCCAGACTGGGTTCATTACAATATGGCTTGTTGTTAGTTCTCATACAAACTTTTATCCATCGAGGAAAAAAAACAAAAAACAAAGAGACAAAAGAAGATATTTTACAATGGCAGCAAAATCATCCAAACTAAGCAGCAACTGCACAAGTCGCCAGAAGCTCTTACCACCTTCGCATAGTCAGGAGGACATGATGTATGACTGCGATGAGGACAACACAACTTGTCCTGTATGCGCTGCACAATAGACACCTGGAACCACATACTCGTTATGGGGAACTGTCACCTGCCATTAAAGCTCAGCACTCGAAATAGCCAGTCAATTGCTGCCATTAAAGCTCAGCACTCGAAATAGCCAGTCAATTGCAGCCCTGTTTCATATGGAATAGGGAAACGTACATTTTTCTTCTTAAAACACAATAGAAAGTAAAGGAAGTGAGGTTACAAGGGTGTGCCTGTCTGGTTGCCGCATGTACCCCGCGCATGCAGGAAATCCCTCCCTTGTTTTGTACAGGTGGCGAGGCATCTCTGTGCACACCAAGTTCTACACGAATCTGTGCTCTCTGTTCTTCAAGCAGTTGACAAAATTTGGTTTGCGAGGGGCAGTGTGGGGGTTTGGGGGAGGAGGGGTGGGCGTTGGAGGAACATCATCACCACCACCATCTTCATCATTCCACCATTCCATCATCATCCTCAGCTTAATCATTCCTTCATCATGATCATCGTCATGGTGGCACACAGGACCACCAGGTTGTCCACCAGGTGTGGAAACGCTTGAACCTGGCCGCTGAGGCCACCCAAGACCCAACTGGGTGACCCGCCTGGCATGGCAGGCGGGGAGCTTTCTGGGCAGCCCATGCGTCCGTAAAAACAGCCCAGAAAGAAAGTTCACACAATCAACACATCACAACAGGATGAAGACTTCAGCCTTGTACATGACCACTCACTATTTCGTGCAACCCCCCCCCATGTGCCCGGAAAAACAGCCCAGAAAGAAAGTTCACGCAATCAACGAACTTTGTTATATCCTGCACATCACAACAGGATGAAGGCTTTAGCCTTGTACATGACCACTCGCCATTTCGTGCACCCCCCCCTGGCATGGCAGGCGGGGAGCTTTCTGGGCAGCCCATGTGTCCGTAAAAACAGCCCAGAAAGAAAGTTCACACAGTCGACACATCACAACAGGATGAAGAATTCAGCCTTGTACATGACCACTCACCATTTCGTGCCACCCCCCCATGTGCCCGGAAAAACAGCCCAGAAAGAAAGTCCACACAATCAACGAACTTTGTTATATCCTGCACATCACAACAGGATGAGGGCTTTAGCCTTGTACATGACCACTCGCCATTTCGCGCACCCCCCCCAATGCAAGTTACATATATGGGGTGATATTGTGGGACACCACCAAGTTCTGCAGGCCATACAATCACAAAGCCACACAGTACACAACCTGCAAAACACATCCACTAAAACCATAGTAAAGGAAAATGCAAACATCATCATGCCCTACCACTGGACCATCACAACAAGACCAGACAAACAATACCAAACCACCGAAAATGCCCACTTTACTACCACAAACTACTAGAAAGCCACAATCAGACACAAGTGTAGGCTGCCACTAGTTGTACGAATGTACCTGTAGCTCATCCTTCAGCTTTTGGCACTCCTGCTCAGCCTTCAAGCTACGCTCCCTCACCAACTGCAACTCATTTCCGACATCTGTTGACCATGATGATCTTGACCTGACATTGAAAAGTGCAAGTCACATCGAATAATGAAACACAAATTCCTCTGTCCATAACACGCCAACATACACATCGTATTGACCTTCTGAACTTGTTCATCATAACCGTCTACATCCCGGACCTCCTTCACCTTCCCAAGAAGACAACCAGTGACATGGAAAGGAAGGACATCCCATAACTTTTATGTGCCCTGGAAAGGAGTATCTGATGCACGGCATCACATCTTAAAACAATCAATGGAAGATTCCATGACGTCTGCCTTCCTGCCTGCCTGCCAGCCTGCCTCTCTCTCTCTCTCTCTCTCTCTCTCTCTCTCTCTCTCTCTCTCTCTCTCTCTCTCTCTCTCTCTCTCTCTCTCTCTCTCTCTCTGATTGTGTACCCATGGTTTAGTTATCATCATATTGATCCCAAGCGTCCACAAACCTCCTCATTTATGGCCTATTGTACCACCAGGTACAACATGGGCAGATTTCTGCATTATTCTGTGCACACTTTGCTGTGCAGCGTGCAGCATACGCATTGTAGTTATTCAAGCTGCTCCTCGTGTTGGTATTTTCTGCTGGTTTTCACTAGAGCGAATTGCTTTGCACTCATCTAACCATACATTCCTTTTCACAAACCTTTTTTTTTTGTGTGTGTGCCAATACCACTTCTAGGAAGAAATCTGAACACGGACCGTACAGCACAGACACAAACTTGCCTATAACAAATCACTCAGTGCAAATTCAGCATCAGAGGTAAAGAGCCACATACTTCAACTCCTGTAAATAGTTTCGGTTGGTTTCATCCTTCAACAAGTCGTCGAGATTTGGTTGGCCATCAGCAACTTGAGGGTCTCCAGCAATCTTCATTCTGTACGTCAGAAGCTCAAGCTGAAGTGCCTACTCATACACACAGACGAACAATGTCCAAACAATCATCATTCGTTTTCCGATTACTAGACATAAATCAGCGATAGATACTTGCCCTTTCTCACGCATCACGCATTGCAGAAATGCCAACAGCAAGGCAAACCAAGAAAATGGAGTGCAACAGACGGGTCTTTGTTCAAAAGTGGAGGTGAATTAGCTAACAAAGCCAAAATTGGTGCAAAAATATCCCATCCTTGCACAGCAATGGGCCACATTTTTATGTCATAGCATGGATCTGCGTCCTCGGCAGGCCTAAGGGGCCCCGGTTAAAGTGGTGCCCGCCCTAAGTGAAGGTGGGCCTAACATTTCACCAGAGGCCTTTGACTGTCAATTTCATATTTGGGGTACAGGCAGTTGCGACGCGCCAGTTGGTTGAGAGAAACACAGGCAGAGCAACAAAGACATTTCCACGGCCTACCGGGCCTTTCCAAAGAATGCAGGCCCTGGGCGTGAATCGCAGCCTCATACACTGACAGTTGGGAGGCCCAACCGAACGAGGCCCAGTAGCTGCAGGGCAAAGGCAGCATCCTGGGGCCTTCTGGGAGCTTCTGGGCCCAGGCCAGTGCAGCCAGGCTGTGCGAGAAGGCCAGCTCTTTCCATAAAGGAAAGAGCTCTCGCGAGGCAGCCTCATTCACTCACTCGCTGGCTGGCGGCAGCGCTGCTGGAGCGATAGCTCGCGGGCTGACTGCTGGCATTGGGAGCAAGAGGCTGCGCACGTGCGGTCGTGTGGTGAGGCAGGGCGCTGCTGAAGGCAGCGCCATAGCCAGCCTTCATAGCGGGCTGGGCTTGGATGTACAGTGAGGCGCAGGGGTGGTCTTCAGGTGTAAGGGAGGAAGACGTGGGTGTAAAGTCAGGGAAGGGCGAAGGATGATGATGATGATGATATGAGGGCACATACCTTGTATTGGCGATGGTCTGCATTTGGGCGACATCTTCAAGTAATTCGGATTGCCGCTGATGTCAACAGTTGCATTGTCTATTAGTAGGCTGATCGTAGCTGTGTAGGAGTAGGCTGGGCGCTAAGCGCCAAGTAGGAGTGTGAAGGGACTGGACTCTTGTGTTGTGGCGCAGAGAGATGCTCTCCTTGACATTGGTTTTCAGTACTGTGAACCTCCATTGGTGTATTATTGGTGCAATGCTGCTCTCTGGACACAGTGTGACTATCTGGCTTTCAATGTGATGTAATCTGGAATTTGTCATCTCGCTGTTGCTTATTTTCCTTGCAATTTGGTATCGGAGCTGGTTCATATTGCGCTTCATTGGTTCTTCGCAATAGCTGTTTGGTGCTTCGCATGAGGTGTGGGGCAGTGATAAGGCTTGGGCGTTGAACGAAGGGCGGCCCAGGGTTGTGTGGGCACGCCAGGGAGCTATGTGGTGACATACAGGGTGTATGCTGGATGATGAGAGCTGGCTGATGTTAGCATATTAAGCCGAGGTGGAACCGCATTCTGCTGTTGGTTGTGCCAAGGCAAAGACCGGTCATCATAAATGCGCATCAGGTTGCCGGTGAGAAATCTGTGGTTGGGGGCAGCATTATGAGGTACGTTGCTCCCTTCCTTATCTACCCTCTTCGTTACTTCTTAGGAAGTGAGTTCTGTCTTGAGAGTCCTCTCGATGTGAGGTGTCACGAGCGCTCAACCTTGAGAGTCGACATTCTTCCTGGGCAGCAAGCTGGTGGGAGACGGGCGGAGCCTCTGAAGGGCCCTGGACGAAGCACTCGGGTCACGGTCACCATGCCAACCCGCTGGGACTAGTACACGCATGCTTTGCCGCAAGTCCTTGGTTCTGCTGCTTGCGCAATAGAGGTCATGCAGGGCATGCCAACCCTTTGACAAACGCTTACCAGACCGTCTTAAATATTTCTGGCGGGGACTCGGTGTTGATTCTGGCAGTGATCGTCGTCCTGTCTGCGACGTTAAATAATTCCTGAGGAGTTATGGGGGATCTCCTTAAATGCCTCCTGATCAGCCAGATCCAACCGGGTGTAAGGCTCGTTGCATGCGAGGGTAAATAATGTGCAGGGGCTGGCAGGTTCGGCGTTGACTTGGGGCACAGGGGTGGGCCGGATTGCACACCTTCAGACACGCTGCTCAACCAGATGTTCAGGACGTTGACACAAAGCGACCACTCAAGAAGGACACAGGGGGAGGGGGGATTCCGGTAACTGTTCGCAATGGCAATCAACAGACAATCTGCCATCAAGCATACATCTCCAACAGGAGATATTATTTTTATCTTTGATTATCTAGTTGTTACAGACTTGACTAATCAGTTGCAGA